TGAGACACAAAGAACCTACCTACAGCCAATCTGTGGAGGTCACACTGAGCAGGGCCTGGATAGAAAGCCACCTTGGGAGGCCCTGGCCAAGACAAATAAGCAATAAATAAGCAGAAGATGTCACAGAGAAAGAGAAATGTGGAGAGACAGAGAGCAAATAGAGATAAACAGAGACAGAGAGAGAGAGAGAGAGAGACAGAGAGGAAGCATGTGCTTGCTAAGAGGTAGAAGTGAGAACAATGTGTCAGCCTAGAGAAATGGATAGAGAGGCCTCATTTCCTATATGCACTATTTACTGTTCCCAGTTCTGAATTGCTTGAGGGCTGGAGGCCTGGCCCTTTTTATATCCATCAGAGTGCTTTACTCCTATAATAAATTTACTGTTTATTGAACTAGTGTTTAGGTTTCTGTTAATTATGATCCAAAGGAAGCTTGTCTAAGACACATTGAGCTTTGTAACTTGTCTTCGCAAACGTGCATTTGTGCATTTTATTGGGCCGGAACCACAAGGTTCTTCACTATAATTCTCTTTTGTTCTTTACTGAGAACAACTATATCAATGTACATATAGACACCTGATTTTGAGGCACTGCCAGCAAACGGTCTTAGTTCCTTAGATGCCATTGCAAACCTAAGGATCAAATTTCTCTGAAATCTATTGAACAAGCCAGCAAAATCAAGACCACTCTATTTGTAGTTTCCTGATGTAAGATGAAAAATATCCAGTTGAATAATGACAATTTTTTCTCATCATCCTTAAAAAATACCTGTTTTGGTGACAGAATCCTTTTTTATAATTTATGACAATTCTGAGTATTCGAAACACTTACTTCTCTGAAATTATTATGCCCAGCTATGGCCCATAGTTATTGCTGACCCATCGTCTCCTTCTTTCCTTCATGCACACTCATCATTGTGTAGCCTACACCATGCAGAGTCTTTCATCGTAAGCCCATCTACTTCCCTCACCTCTCCACTAATCCCTGTACTTCCATTAGGCTCAGCTCAAATTGTACCTCCCCATGAAGCCTTGCTCAGAGCCTCTGGTTGCAATCCTTAGAAACTTCTTGAAATTTCTTTGGCTCAGGAGTACTCATCTGGAATCAGTTTTGGCCCTCGGGGGACATTTGGAAATATCTGGAGGTATTTTGGTAGTCACAGCTGGAAGGAGAGTGCTATTGGCATTTAGTTGGTAAAGGCCAAGGATGCTGCTAAACATCCCACAATGCACTCAACAGTCACCCAACAATGTCAGCAACATTGAGAAACCCAATAGTCTAGCCTGACTTTGGCACCATGAACCTTATCATTTGATTGCTCATTATGGTGTGAATTCTGAGGGCTGAATGGAAAACTTAAGAAATCAATCATTGTCTTCCTGAATTTTATGGGTATGAAGACTGACCCAAGAGAAGCTGCCAAAAGTCACCGAGAATGCCACTGGCAGAGCTTTATCCCTTGACCCCTGAGCCTCTGGCCAGTTCCACTTCGTTATGCTGCAGTTCCTTTCTCTCAGGAAGGTTTAAAAAGTTCCTCTAAGCCAGAGTAGGATCTTTTATTAAATAGGCAGTGTCTCTCCCCTCCAGCCCTTAGTCAATTACTAAGAACACAGTACATATTCATCAGGTCAAAATAATTCTAGATTTTTTTAGATTTTATAAAATATCATTTTATTTCCCTGCAAATGTATTTTCTTAAAGAACTGTAAGCTTTTCTCCTGGATATAACCTCTCAAAAGGAAGGATGACTACATCTAAATCACAGACAGAAGACATTCTATGGAGATCTGCGGAAGTATTTTCAACATTAATTAGAGTAAATACCAGCCAACTGAGTCTTACACATTTAAATGATGGTGATGAAAATTACTGCCTTAACAGCACAGAGGAAAACAGGAAAGGTTTTTACTAAGGGGAATAATTAACTGAATTCTTAGAGAGAAACTGGACAATAACCCCTAACAAACAAAAAATGAACAAAATACAGACCCTTATTCATAACCCATTCCCAAAAATAAATAATTATTCTCCTTGGAGAAAAAAAATATGTAAGCAATTGTTCACAGAATTCACAAAGGAGAGCTGATTGGCTAGTGTTCTGCATTTTAAAGGCAGAACAGTACAAGCAGAAGTTCAACTGTAGGCCTGGAGCAAAATGATCCTGGCTTTGCGTCCTGGCAGTGCAGCAGAGCAGCTGTGTGACTTGGGCACCTTAATCCTTCAAATCCTAGTCTCCTCAGCTTCAAAGTGAGGCTCTGTAATACTAGATCCCAAAATATAAAATTGTGAGGTTTTGATGAAGGAACACAGGAAACATGCCCACCACAGGATCAGGCTAAATCCAAGCCATGAATAAATGAGATCAATTGTTGCAATGATTTCTACCTACTGTACTTTAATTTTACTTCTGAAAAATTGGGAAGATCACTTAGTATTTTGATGTCAATTTTTATTTCCTCAGGAAAAAAAATATGATGTCCCCTGCCTTATACAGAAGAGAACTTCTATTGCATTGGAATCTTCACATTTAATTATTAGCCAATCAGCTCTCCTTTTCCAATTTAAAATAAAACAATAAGCAAAAGCTTTTAGATATGCATGTGGGGCTTTTAAATTGTGTGAACAAGTCTGTAGTTGTAAGTACCTGGGAAATGATGTAAGCTTGACCTTCCTTTCTTCTTCCCTTCCTTCCTTCTTTCCTTTCTTTCTTCCTCCATTCTTTGCTTTCTTTCTCCCTTTAACAAGATGTGCAAATGCACGTATATGGGGTTGTGTGTCAGTATAAGATATCTATAGAGAGGGTGTCAAGCATTTAACTTTTATGGAAAAGTCTGAGAAGGAAAATTTCAGGAACTTGGGTTCCAGCCCTGCCTCATACTAGGTATGAGATATCAGGCAAGTCACTTCACTATCTCTCATCTGTAAAGTAAGGGGATTAGTAGATGATTGCTATGGTTTCCTCCAGTTTTAATTACTGGATTGTGTTTTTATTTTTGGAGAGTTACGACAGACAACTAATTCAAATACGTTGTTCAAAATGATCTTGTCATTATGTTTTAAATATTTTATTTATTTATTTTTAGAGACGGGGGAAGGGAGAAAGAGAGGGAGAAAAGAAGTGATGTGAGAAAGAAACATATATGTGCCGCCTTTTGCAGGTCCCCACCAGGGACCTAACTCCAAACCCAGGCATGCCTAACTGACAAACTTCTTTGCAGGATGACGCCCAACCAACTGAGCCACACTGATCAGGGCAGATCTTGTCTTTTCAATAGAAAGTACAATCTGCAAGAAAAGCGTCAAACATCATTGAATTTTAAAATGATATTTTAAATTTTGAATGGATCCCTTGGTCCAAGCATTTTGCCAGTTCCCAAAGTGGCTTTTTGGGTGCCGTTGCACAGGATCCCAGGCTTAGAAGGACTCCACGATTAACTTAGTGCTCTGCTATTGCTGTCTTGAAATTCTCAATGTTTGAACAAAAGGTCCTGCATTTCTGTTTTACACTGGACTCTGCAAATTACATAGCTGGATCTGGCTGCAAATTACAGTTAACAGTGTAATATCTGGGTTCAGGACTCTTTCTTTTAGTTAGAAACCTACACCGACCTCTTTCCTCTGCAGCTGTTCTCAGTTTTTATGTTGGTGTAAAACTGCTTCACCACCTAGACTGCAGGATGGGTGGACAACTGTGCACGGGACACGCAGTGGCCGCCTTTGACTTCAAAGGGCGGAGGCTCCACCATTCAGCCCAGCCCTCTGTAGGGGTGGAGCTTCTGTCAGTGGCAATGCCCACATTGGTGCAAATGTTTGCAGGAGTCTAGTAGATTGCATGGAGGACTCAGCGAAAAGCATCCTTGTTTGAAAATTGGAGGCTGGAAGCCAGGCCAAAGAAGAGCTACATTCTCTGAACACCCCCACACCCGGGCCTTATGGGTGTTAGTATTTTCTCAAGGCTGACCACTCTGCTTCAGGGATCTCTAAAGTAAAGTAAAGAGGTAATTACTCAGAGAAAGGCTGAGTTCAGTCAGTGCTTGGAATGATGATTCAACTTCAAAAATCATTTCTGATCCCTTAGTGCGTACTGCCATTTCATTAAGCCAGGCGCCCAGGACACAGCTGAAAGCAAACACGATGACGGTGAGCTAATTCCAATTTATTACGGCTATTCTGGGTTTACTTCCCAGCCTGTGAAACATGGATGCTACTCAGGTCACAGAGCTGATGTAAGGATATAAGGAGATAATAAGTGACTAACTACTTGAAGAGCCACTTCGTGGAAGTATTTGCAAGGTGTAATGTAGGCACACGATTTTTTTTTTGAAAAAGCAATGTGTTCCTGGAGGTACGTAGAGGTTTTTTCTTTTTTCTTTTTCCCCCAAATGGAAGCAGAGATAGGATGAAATTTAAATGATTTGCCTTCTCTCAATTTTCAGAGTGGAACTTGACATCCAGCGAGCGCAGCGCCCCTTCCGGACCAGTCACAGAAGGGAATGCCAGCCGAAAAGAGATGGCAATAGAGAAAAAAGATCGTGCCCACGCCAGTGCTGGCCATGTCCGCATCCAGAGCTTCCTGCCCCGTTGCTTTCCGGTTTCCATGCCCGCCTGATACTAAAACCGGGGAAGACAAGCCCACTCTGCTCCCGCCCCGGGCTCCCGCGCAATACTCGAAGTTACGGTAAAACCAGAGTAGGAAACGAAGCTGTCTCGGCGAGAAGAGGCGGGGCCGTGTCTCTGTGGGCGGGGCATGAGGGGTGGGGCCATAGTTTAACCCGGGAGGTCGAAGCTGTGACCACTGAGAAAGACAGCTGGCTGGGACGGGAGGGTGGGGCCAGGCTGAGGTGGGCGGTCCCGGGGCGGGGCCACATGGCCTTGCGCTCCAGCAGGCGGAGTGGCGGGGCGGAGCCGAGGTAGGTGGGGCTGGAGGGGAGGGTCCACGGTGGGGCGGGGTTCGCCGCGGGGCGGGGTTGCCGCGCGGTAGGGCAGAGCTTAAGCACTCCGTCCTCCCGCCAGTCCCAGAGCTGCACCGTCTGCCAGAACCCGGGACGAGGCGTCCCGGGGCGGGGAGGAGGGCGAAGGAAACTGGCAATGGCTTCAAGAGGACTCCCGGGGTCTGTTGTCCTCGCTGTTGCTGTCTTTGTGAGAGGCGCCGTGAGTTTGCCGCTCGTGGCACCGGGTAAGTTCCCCGATAGGGCCGGGGCTCGTGGGAGGAGGCGAAGGATTGAGACTGCAGCCCCGCTGCGCCTGGCGCAGCTCTAGTGCCGGCCAGTGGCGCGATACGGCCGCTGAACTGCCTGCCGTCAGGGGGTAGCCCGAGTCGGTTGTGGCGCTTGGCAGAGGCTCTGATCCCTCCCTTCCCGCCTGCGGGGCTCCCGCCTTCACCCCGCTCGCCGGCTCCTCCGAGGACCTGTTACCCCCGCCCCCGCCTCTGAGCTATCCAGGGTGTAGGGACCCGGCCCGGTCTTGCACGCCCCAAGTGCGCTCCTGCTTGACACCTCGGAGCCTCGCGAACCCCTTTTGTGCCGCCCTTGTCCTCAAAGGCCCCGCGAGAGGAAGATCGTGACACAGGGGACTGAGTGCACTGGCGCCGTCGCCTTTTCCCCCCACCCCCCATTAGTTTAAAACCTTGGGGAGTTTCAGTCTCTTTACTTTTCAAGTTTTAATTTATTTTAGTGGTGGATGGATTCTTTTAACAGGTTGGGGATTTCAGATTTCTTCTCACATATCCTGTTAAATCAGACTTGGAAAAAGGGAAGGAGCATTTGTAAAGTTACACTTTTTTTTCTTAGCCGAGTCCTGTCACCACAAAAGGAACCTAATGTGGTCAGAGCAGGAAGCCACCAGCTGAGCTGATAAAGTGTCATCTGTAATGATGAATTTACGGCAGAAATTTTTTATTGACATCTAAGAGGATATGTAAATTTTAGGGAAGTCTTGCCTCAAACTCTTGTTTTTATAACTGTATACACCAGGGATTCATTCCTACCATTCCCCCCTTCACTGCCACCTTACGGAGAAGTTTGAAAATACTAATAAATATATACCTTCTTGGCCAACTGGAGTCACCACGACCTGGAATTTTAGGTCAGCAAGCTCTCCTAAGCTTGAGCAGCTCCTCTTCGGGTCCAAATAATAAGCATCTGGAAGCATTCCAACTGTGGCTATCTCCATGAAAACACATACACCGTTCTTCACTTTGGCTTTCGCTTTTTCATAGAAAACAGAACATGTTAGGAAGGAAACAGGATTGATCATATATCTCCTGAGCTGTTATTAGCAGACACGTATTTCCTTCAGCCATCCTCCCTGGGGAGAAGGCAGCTGGTGACATGGTTATTGGATGGGAGATTTTGGTTTTCAGACTGTGTTTCATTGCTGAGACAGGTAGGTGTGTTATCAGGTTCAAACTGGACCCGAGGTTGTAAATGGTAGTTAGAGATAGAGAGTCAGTTCTTCCAGAATTTGAAGAGCTTAGCCTGGGAGTAAAATTCAGCACAGGCTGCCTGTAATCCTCCATCAACCAGAGAAAACCATCCCTAGTGTAAGTTTGTGTTTCCATGGATCTGAGCAGTACCCAGCTCTCAGGACTAGAATGAAGAAAACTCTCATCTTATTGCACAGTAACCGTTTTTTTTTTTTTTTTTTAAAAAAAGATTTTATTTATTTTTAGACAGAGGGGAAGGGAGGGAGAGAGGGAGAGAAACATCAATGTGTGGCTGCCTCTCATGCACCCCCTACTGGGAACCTGCCTGCAACCCAGGCATGTGACCTGACTGGGAATCGAACTGGTGACCCTCTGGTTGGCAGGCCCGCAGCACTCAATTCACTGAGCCACACCAGCCAGGGCTGCTTTTTTTTTTTTCCTTTTTAAATAAAATGGAACACTTTAGAAGAATAAGATATCTAAAAAGGAAAGAATCCAGATTATGAATTTGTCAGGGTGACTTGAGACCTGACCAGTCAACATCTGGTCACCCATTGGAATCTAAGACAGTGTTAATGTTTGTAGGGAATGTTAGGGAGGTAGGGAGGAAAGAAATGGGAAGTAATGTTGAGTACCTGCTACCTGCCAAGCTTCAAGTTGAGCATTTCATATGCATTTTTACACTTATTTATCATAATCCTAGGAAGTTCTTATTTCCAGTGAGGCAGCTGAGGCCCATAGTGGTTGAACAGTGGGTCCAACATCACATAGCTAGTCTATCAGCCAGTATTTAATCCGAGAAGCAGAACCAGTGGGGGGGGGGGGGGTGTGGTGTGTGTGTGTGTGTGTGTGTGTGTGTGTGTGTGTCTTTATATGTATCTTTTATCTTTGATAACCTAGCCCACTTAATTCCAAAGTTCATTCATTCTCTTTCCACTATAGCCACTGCTCCCCAGAAAGAAAATAGAACAGAAGTCAGCTGGGGCAGTCCTGTTGAGATTCTAAGATGCGGAGTTTAGGACGTTATAAAATTGTAAGCATGTGGTTATGAGAAGATGGGAGGCAGGAGAAAGTAGAAGAGATAACTTCACAGTGGGCAGTGGCCATGTCTCTCACTTCCTGCCTAGTTGGAGAATCTCATTAAATTTCTGTCTCTCAGTAACAGCATTTGGAGCTCTGTACCTCAAGCAGCAGAAGGGATGATTTTTCACATCTTGGCTTATTTATGTCCTTAAGTTCTCTGGTTACTCAACCTTTGGGCTTATTTGTTTCTCTGCGCGACAGTGGGCACAGCCTTCTAGTAAGGAGCGGGCAGCAAAGGTCCAGGGCCTGGTGAATGAGAAGCGCCCTCTTCCTGGGCTCTGCGGGCTGCCATCCAGCCTCCTGACTCGTTGTTTAGATGCCAAAGATAAGCTTTATTAAATTCTGGTTCTCCTTTGGCCAGATAGCTACCCAGATGCACATCCACATCAAACATAATCAGTAGACAGAATACTTTGAGAAGGCACCCCTTGAAGCTTGGGCTTGCAAGTCCAAGTTTAATTTAAAGAGGAAATGAAAAAATTTGAGAAGTGCTTGTCATTCCCTCTCTTCTCCTGTTTCAACCCCGCCCCCTCCCCCCCACGCCTGCAAAGAAATTAATCAAACAATCTATTTGGGAGCTTCAGTAGTTGAATTTGAATGAGAGAGGTCAAAACGCCAGGTGATAGGAGCAAAACAATTTATTGTTGCTTTTCAAAGAATTGTTTGGCTCTGAAGTTGAAGTTTAATTATATATTGAGAAATTATTTAAAAGTGACGAAACGATTTAAATTGTCATTGTTTCAAACTGTTATGTTGAGTGGTTTCTAATTATTTTGAGGCATTTACCTCAGTAATTGGTAAAGGTTTGATGGGCTGCTGGAAGCAGGTGGAATGAGGGGTGTGGCGTGGCTGCCAAGGACTATAACTGGAATTTGGAGTTAGTTCATTGTAGACACTCTGCTCTTTTTAAAGGAAGGAGTACAATGTTTATTATACCTGTTTTGTGGCTGGCTCTGGTCTATGAACTTGGGTCATTTAATACTTATAACATTCTGTCCTGTCATAAATACTGGAATAATTGAAATATTCCTTTATTTTTATAGATGAAAAAAATTGAGTCTCTGAGAAGTTAGCTTGAAAAAGTCACTCAATCAAGTATATGATTGTCTGACTACTATGCTGTACACCTGAAATGAATACAAAATAATATTGAATGTAAACTGTACTTGAAAAATAACACTAAAAAAAGAAAAAGCCTCTCAAAGCTGGATTTTGACCTTGGTCAGAACTGTCCAATTCTGAAGCTAGTTCTTATTATATTACTAAATCATTTTTTTTCTTCCAAGTGAGAACTTTCTTTTTATTCTACGATATTTATAAAGAATCACTAAAGGTGATGGCATGGCACAGTAGAAAGAGCATCAACGTGAGAGTCCTGGACTTGAAGTCAAAAGCCAAGAAGGGCCCTTGCTGCCCTCGGGAGTGTGGCTCCCTGCCCTCCCTGCCTCCACTTTCTAACCCACTTCTATCTTTACCTCCCTTCTGGCTGCTAGTAGGGCTCAAACGAGCTATTGTCTCTGAAAGGTCTTAGCAAATGGCCAAGTGGTATATATCTTTTATCCTGTGTATTTTCCTGTATTTCTTCCCCAAAGTGTCCATCAGGTTAGAATTATATTATAATGTGAACCAAACTATCTAATAAACGTTTACCACTGATACTGTAACGTTTTCATTCTGGAGGTGGTGATGGTTTTGCAATGATAGGTCCATTGTGAATACATAAAGCCCAGAGTGACACCTCAGATTCATGAGTTTGCTGCCATTGACTGGGAGGTAAGCAGCCAAATCTTCTCCCATTTTTCCCTCAGCTAAAATACAGTGCTCTTGGTATTTTTGGAAAATTCCCTACAAGAATGGGGAAAAGGGGATATCATTACTCCAAGGTACTTGCCACTGTTAGTCTATTATTTCTTTCTGGCCTTTTCTCTCTCTCTCTCTCTCTCTGTCTCTCTATTTTTACTTGGATAGGGTCATAATGCAAATATAATTTTGTGTCCTGCGTTTTTCACGTAATGTTACACATGAAGTTTCCTCCATTTTCCTATACTCAAAAAATGGCTGCATCATATTCTATTTTATGGATTCATTGCGTTTTACCTCATTGTGCCTCCATTTTAAGATATTTCAGTTGTTGCTAATTATCTTCAAATGGATTTTAAAACTCATTGTTTTGGTGAACAGATATGAATGAAGCTTTGCCTAGATATCGATGACTTCCCAGGAAATGAGTTCCTGAAAAGGCATTTTGAAGGTCAAAGGTATTCATGTCATTGAGGCCTTGAGGACATCAGTGTTGGTGACCTGAAGGGTGACCCAGTTTACCTTCTCAAAGCAATAGTCAAAGGACTCACCTTTTACACCGTTGGCATTTTCTCTAAAAAATGTATTTGTTAATTTGTAGGGTGAAAATTGGTACCTTGATTGTTTTAATTTGTATGATTTTGATTAGTAGTATGATGACTTTTTTTTTTATAGTATCGGAGCCATTTGCACATGTCTATAACCCTTTATGGACAATTCTGAAATCTGAAAATCTCTGAAAACCAAAAGCTTTTTTTTGAGGCTTTTTACGTACTCCGTTGGTGGTAAACCCTAATTTGAACCGATGTGAGATTCTATAGTATATATTTATCTCAGTGTGAATACTGCTAAGTTTTGCTGCAGTTACA